GTCTAAGTGGAGGAGGCGGCTGCTATTTAATTCCTTCCAGTTTAGTTTGATTAAATTACCTCAATTGGGGTACACTTTTTGGTCCAATTTTATCCAAATTGAAATCCGTTCACACCGTTGCGATCAGACAGTCAAACTCTATTTAATGATATAATTTTTATATTTATTTGAAATACTTTTTATGACAGCATATTTTTGGGTGTTTACTTTGATAGAGTCAAAATTGAATTAATTGATATGTAATTAAAATTAGTCTCATATTCAACCAATATTATTAAATATAAATATTTAATTCAATAAGTCATTTTACAAAAGTTCACTTCTTTGACTTTTTCTCATTTTTATACAAATTACATATTTAAAATGTCATAACTGAACCTCTGTACATCAGATTTACTCATAAAATAAACCGTTGGATTCGTCTCTTCGAGACCTATCCATAAAAGTCAATCTTAACAAAAATCATTGACTCCAAAAATTCTTTCATTTTTGGCCAAACATAGAAATAATGTTTTGTTGAGTCAAAATATGGTTTCTAAAAATACTTTTATAGTAGAATAACTTTTAGACCATGTTTTGGGGCGTTACAGTATCTCACATTCTCACATTATGGAAGGAACTTCTCGAACACTTCCTTACACCATAAGATTCGTTGGTCTTCTTGGCAGTCATTCTCTTGGTAGAAATCCAATGTTTATGGCTACTGCAGTAGATTTAGGAAGAGAATTGATAAGGCGAAGAATTAGTCTTGCTTATGGAGGAGGCAACATTGGCCTACAAGGAGCTGTTGCTTCAACAGTCTTTACCAATGGTGGTCTCGTTAGAGGTTTCATTCCTGGGTACATAGCAACACGACGGGTCTATGGACCTACATACGGTGTAGAGCACACAGTTTCCTGTAATTACTACAAATATTTTGAGATGAATCATGCCGTGGAAGCTTTCATTGTTCTTCCCGGAGGAGTTGACACTATGGAAGGTTTGTTCAGTTTGATCTCGTGGGCTTCTGAAGGGTTACACAATAGACCCATTGGTCTCTTGAATATTGACGGTTATTTCAATAACCTAATCAAATTTCTAGATGATGCGGTGAGGCAGAACTTCGTGTCTTTGAGTCAGAGGAAACTTTTCATTTCTTCTTTCTTTGTTGATGAGCTTTTAGACAAACTAGAGTTTGCTAAAGCTTTCCCGGGACCTGGGGTTAGTTATTGTTGGAATGCATGAGTTCAACCCTTTCTGTGTTGTTAAGTGTTGACTCACAGGTTTTGATAATTGACAAACACAATTTATTCAAGTCAAGATCAAAGTGCTACAACGACAAACACGAAGACTTGAAGTGCCATTCCTTGAAGTATTCAAGAAGGTGCACAGGATTTTATTGGAGTCCGAGACGCATTCGGAGCGCCTAACGGAGGACTCGGAGGAGTAGAAGATTTCCGAAGACTTTTTATTTATTTGAGTTTTAGGAATTATTGTAAGGATGAAAAAAATATCTTCTCTCCAAAATTATTTTTATGAGAGTCAAAATAAAAATTATACTTATTTTTGGAGTCAGTTGAAAAATCTTTTTAACTGTTCAAAATAGTTTTATTGAGTTAGTTACAAAAAGTGTGTCAAACATTTATCAAATATTTATTTTGATATATTTTTGGTAAGCAAAAATATTTTATTCAAATATTTTTCGTGTACATCGTTTGACACACAAAATAATTTTTGGACTCACTTTTACTCCCTTATTCAAATTCATTGAATAAGAGGAGGAGCGTTCTCTGATTCCCGTTGTTTCAACAAACGAGTGTTACGCCAATTTGCTCTCCATCGCAACTGGCTTGGGCCCTTTGTGTTTTGCCCATTATTTCTTTTGGTAATCGATTATATTTCTCTGTTTAATCGATTAACTGTCGTTTGCATTCCATTAATCGATTATTCCTCTTGATTTAATCGATTAGTCCTCTCAGAGCCTTCTAATCGATTAATCCCTTTGCATTAATCGATTATTTAC